CCAGGGTCAGCCCAGCCAGGATGGAAAAGGAGCCAAGGGTCAGCCTGACCAGAAGGGCAAGGATGGAAAAGGAGGCCAGGGTCAGCCCAGCCAGGCTGGAAAAGGAGCCAAGGGTCAGCCTGACCAGAAGGGCAAAGATGGAAAAGGCGGCGGCAAGAGTCAGGCTGACCAGAAGGGCAAAGATGGACAAGGCGGCAAGAGTCAGGCTGACGAGAAGGGCAAAGATGGAAAAGGCGGCAAGAGTCAGGCTGACCAGAAGGGCAAAGATGGAAAAGGCGGCAAGAGTCAGCCTGACCAGAAGGGCAAGGATGGAAAAGGAACCAAGGGTCAGATGTTGAAGGGCAAAGATGGAAAGGGAGCCCAGAGTCAGTCTTTTTCTACCCTGCCGAGCGGCGATGGAAAAGGAGGAGGAAAGACCGGGAGATCCAGGCCCGAAGGTTGGATTCCCACCCCTCAATACCGTTCATACGGCCCCTTGTGAGGCGACCGCCGACTGTGCAGGACCTGCTGGAAGTCTTGCGCCTCGCCTGAAGTTCGTATGTGGGTGTTTGTGAGTTCAAGTTTCATTTGGCATTGGAGTTACAGTTGCCGCACCTGGCAGTCAGGCAAGAAATCGCCGAAGACTTGAGACTCTCCGACGCCACCTTCAATAGCGTCAGACAGCTCCTCGACTACGGACGCGATGGCCACATCAGAGTCAGTCTCATCATGCGCCTCAGCTTCGTTTGGAATTCAGTGTCAATATGTCTCTGTGCGCCTGGTTGTGTGTCTGTGTGCTTGTCGTGGCAGCAGTTTCGGCAAGCTAAGGATCCAGGCCATCCAAGCCAGATATACGAATCCTGGCCAGCGTCTCGACGCCTGGGTGCTGTCCAGAGTCAACATTGACCGGCCGATCCTTCGGGACCGGCAGTCTTGACGGCTCAGGACCACTTGGAGGCCCACTTAGTAAGTCTACTTAGTATCCCCTAGAAACCCTATTGGAAACCCCATAACGCACCTTACTAACCCTACTTTAAGTCAAAAGGGCCTCCAAGCACTCAGTGTCAGACAGTTTTGCTCTGGGTGCTGTGCTTCTTTTCTCCTGCTCGGAAGCGAAGCAAGAGTCAGTGTCAGAGTCAGTGTCAGAGTCAGTTACAGTAACGGACAACACATAGTATTGTAATGCAACAACATTACAACAAACAATAAATAGGGCCAGTAAACTGACTGACTTGCTTCCGCCTCCGAACAGAGCGCAGCGAGCGCCAAGGTTTCGTTGCGTCTAGCCGACCCTCAGAGTCAGGATAAGAGCTGTGGCAAGACGCGAAAGTAAAACAAAGTGATGTTCCCTCTGCATTACTTGCCGGTTGCATTTCTTTAAGCCTTGTTTGTCATTCGAAAACAGATAGAACTATCTCCTGTGCCTTGCAGGTGCCATGCCTGTTCAGAGTCAACGCCGTGGCTGGAGCCCAAGACTGTCTAGATGGCCCGTTTCAATATGTCAGAATCTCATTGCCCCTGCGCTTTGGAAGTGCTCTGCCTGGTCGGAGTCAGCGCCGATGGCTTCAGCTTCTAATTGGTTGCTGCCTGCCTTCGCAGGTGCTCTGGTGGGGCAGAGTCAGAGCAGGAGGCCGTTTGCTAGCCATGCTTTCGCATGCTTCGGAACGATGAAGGTTCTTGTCCCTGCTCTGGCAGGTATTGTGCCTGGTCAGAGTCAAAGCCGATGGCTGGAGTCCAAGAGTGTCTGGACCGGGGCAGTGTCAGTCCTTTGCAGTTCTGAGTTCTGAAGTGTGTTCTTTGCAATGCTGCTGTTGCCCTGGGTCTTGCCCTGCCCCTGCGTTGCAGCACTTTGGTTTCAAGATGGCAGGTTGTCTTCAGGCAGTGTCGCACCCTATCATTTTCCAGTAACACTGGCTGTCAGACTACATATAAAATAATCATCAGGATTAAGCTCAAATTATGTGCAGATGCCAGTGTCATCGCTCACTGTCACCCAATGGCCGGATGGAAATGCAAAGTCTGTGCAGCCGGAACATGGCGCAGACCCCCAGGCAATATATGTACTGGCTGCAAATCAAGTCGCCGTGGTCGTCACAATGTTCCTCCGCGGGTGCGATTCAAGGGCAAAGCGTCAATAACCGCTGAGGGAAAAGCCGAGTTAGACCAGAAAATTGTCCAGACGCCCAAGAGAGTCAGAGTCGAGAAGACTGGCAGCGAGCCGAAGGAGGAGATGAAGAAGGCTTGCCCCGGCAACGTGCAAAGCAGTGACAGTACAAGTGGCTGCGTAGCAGGCCAAGACAATTCCAGTCCTAGGGTCAAGCTCCTGAATAGTCTGGAGTCCACAGTTCTTGTAGAGTTGAAGCATCTCTTTGGACCTGCCGTGGCATACACAGTGGTAGCAACTGCCATAACGATACTGGACAAGTTTCAGACTCATGCATCCCCCTTGCCTGCAGAGTCACAATCATGTGCCAGAAGTCTTGCGTCATTTGCATTTGCTTGTTCGGGCGTTCCCGACGAGGACTTGAAACGAAAGTCCTACTTAGCTTTCCTGACACAGCAACAGCTGCTGAGTGTCACTGATATGAGGAAGAGGGAATGCTGGTGGGCCATGTTGGCACCATTTTGTGCAAAAAGCCAGCTAGCCTGAAAGCTGACCGCATGACTTCAGATGCCAGCGTCAGCGACAAATGATTCGATCATCGCAGTTGAGGAGGTTTGCACTGCACTGCTGCACACATGCCTTTCAGAGTCAGAGTCCATGGTTGCTTCAAGTTCGTTGCAGCGGTCAGGTGCTCTCAGAGACTGGGCTTCTCTTGTCAGGCTCGGCTCTGAGACTTGTCTTTTGTTCCAGCCTGGGCACTGCAAGTGTTAGAGTCATTGAGTCATGTGCGATTGGCAGGCCAGGTTAGCACTGAAAAGTCACAGTCAGTCTGATGGCATTGCCGAGGCGCTGACTCAGGCCGATCGTTGGAGAAGGCCGCAGGAGTCAGCCTTAGAGCAGACAGGGTCTTGTGCGGCAGGACCCATTCGCCGCTAGTTACCTTTAGACCTAAACTGCCAAGTACTTGCGGCAGGAGCCATGCGCCGCTAGGCATAGACAGGGTCAAGTAGACTCGCTTTCTGATCAGTGGGTGGAACTATTGCTGCAGCCTTGCGATTGCTTGGTAAGTTAAGGAAATCGAAGAGTCACACATACATTACGGCTTGAGGTTCATGGGTGGCTAGACAACTGGCATAGCCAAAGCGAAGGGATACACTCAACACCATAATCAATGTACTGGAACAATGATCAGCCTGACATGTTTCAACAATAGTACCATTCAACCTTATGCAATTTCAACATAACACTGCTAAGATCAATACGAATACTAAGTCTAGGAGTACTAAACATTCAAATTGGAGAAGGCCGCTGGGTTTATGTCTTTCTGATGACGCCAGAGCTGGCAGGATCTTCTGATTCTGCGGCAGGACCCATTCGCCGCTAGTTAGTAGTACTGTGCCGAAACTGCGAAGTCCAAGTACTTGCGGCAGGAGCCATGCGCCGCTAGACATAGATAGGGTCAACTAGACTTGCTGCCTGATCAGTGGGTTGGACTGTTGCTTGACGGTTAAATGAAATTGCTATTCTGAAAACGAAGAGTGAGGACACTTTTCAAGTCTACTCTACTACTTGGGATTGAAGGGCTCGAACTCATGTGTTTTCAATCCTCTGCAACTTGGCCAGGCTGACTCTATGTCCGCCCACTGCTGTCACAGCCTGTAGCTCAGCTTGGCCCTCGCACTTTAGTTTTTGTGATGCCTTGTTGGTGCGGCCAAGCTTTTGAGATCAAGCCTGTCTCCCAGTTGTAAGGCTTCCTAACTTTCAAGTTCGCTTGGTGTCCCAAGCTGCTGTGTCATGCAAGGCAAGTTCAGAATAGCCAAGTCAGAGTCAGCAACATCTTTTTGAGACAGGGGAAGCGTCCGAGTCAGCAACAACGACTAGGACCTAGGAATGCGACGTGGTGTCGGCTTATTGTCCCATGGTCGCTGCCTGCTACACGTTGTGTGGAGTCGGGGGACAGAGTCAAAATGACTCCGTGACTCAGAGCAGGAAGAGACCACGAAGTGTCAGTGGTGGAAAGACCCGGAAGCCGATTTCTCGGCGTCCTGGTCTTGTTGCGCCCAAGGCCAAGGGTCAGGCGAAGAAGTCCCAATCTGCGACTTCTGGGAAAACCCAGCGTCAGCGGCGAGACAAGCCAGCAGGGTCAGGGGCTAATCGTGAGGATGTGGTCAGACTCGATGACTCTGCTCCTCGTACATGTGGACACACGGAGTTTACAGCGTCATGCGCGCAGTGCTGGTTTCATCGCCACGGAGCAGATTGGCAGCAGAGTCACGGAAGCTTCATTTCCAAACAGGGTGTCGATGGCCGCAGTGTCAAAGTGGTTTGGTTGCAGCAGAAGCCAAGTGGCATGCCTGGTCCTTGGGCCATAGGCTGTGCTGTGTGCAATGCGTGGAGCAAGAAGCTGGAAGGCCACCCTCGATCAACTGTTTTACGGCGCCTGAGTCAACGAGTGTCAACAAAGTGGGCAAGATACGAAATCAACAAAGTCAGCCAAATGCAGGCTTCCGCAGTGCAGCTACATGCGCAGAGTCAGATTCACATTGGAGCTGTCAAAGCATTCGAATCTCCGGACCTGCCTTTGCAGGCGCTCTTACCACGTAGCAAAGCTGATGCTGATTTGTTGAAGGGGGCTGTTCCCCAACCGGGAGATTGGCTGGGGGCCTTTAGAGCAGCTCAATCCCCAGTGTCATTTCTGAAAGCCGAGAAGCAGTGTCAGACAGCTGCTTATGCTGCCATACGGTCAAGTTACACCAAAAGGCGTCAGATGAAGCAGATGATTTCCGTCATGGTCGAGGTCACACGTCAGAAGAAGCGGGCCGCCATCTTGACTGCTGCTCATATTAGCATTGCCATCGACGACCGCTCTCCTTATCGAGTGGTGCGTTTTCGCACATGTCGTCCCATCAGCAAGGGTCAGGGCGAGGAGTCCGAGTCACCAGCAGAGTCAGCTTCACCACTGGTGGAGGAGGGCATCCTTGCGGTCCTGAATGGGTGCTTGCCCGTTGACCAGATGGAGAAGCTCGATGATGATTACTCAGCAACTCAGCATAAACCACGGCGTTTGTTTTTAAATTTCAGGAATAATTTTAATAATAATTAATTTAGTTGTATTAAGTCAGAAGTAATTAGTCCTAAGCCTCGACACTTCCCAGAGACTCTCAATAAATACCATTTTTTATACATCAGTCAGGATATAAGTTCTAGGGTTCAAAGTGTGCTAGTCAAGCAATCAGCAGTGTCAAGGTAAAGCTGGCAGAGTCAATCAAAGTCGCTATAGAGCGCTTGGCAACTCCCTTGTCGTCAGAGACTGACCAGAGTGTCATCGATGCATTCTACAAGAAGGTGACATCGGTGGCCACAGATGGTGCCAAGTCTATGCGGAAGGCCGCACTGATCATGGAGAGTCAGATGTTCCCGAACATGTCCTTTGCCCTGCCAGACCGGGCACATCAGATACGCAGAGCGTCAATACCGCTCACCCTGGAAAACCGTTTCAAAGCTTTCTGGGAGAACGTGTTCTCCAAGCGTCACGCTCTCGTTCCTGATCTGCAAAACTCAGCGCAGTGGCAGATGAGGTTTCAGACTATGGAGAACGAGCTCAAGAGTCAGAGTGAGAATCATGAATTGCCTGGCGGGCTGAAGAAGGCCCTGCGAACCCTTTCTTTCGCAAAGCAAAGGTTTGACTCAATGGCAACACCAGCGTCAAAATTTGTGACATTGATACAACCTTTCGCACTTCTGCTGGCGCACCAAAGCGCAGACCACCGGCTAGACCCGAAGGTCCGATGGCGCTCGCAGCAGATGCTTCAAGCAATGGACGCAGAACTTGTGCTTGTTGCAGGCTTGAGCGCAGACTTTTCTGGCGAAGTGTTAAGATTTGTTCGGCAGCATGATATCCGGTCCCACGACATAAGCCGAACATTGCAAGAGAGGGACGAGTTTCTGCGCAGACTCGACAAGCTTTTCATCCAGGGTCATATTTTGGATGAAGCTACAGAGTCATTTGCCCACATGGCATGTCGGAATGCAATTTCCGCTGGCCCCATACAGTTTGGCGACCGGATGCATGATCTTTGGGGGCCCATGGGCAAGAAGAAGTGTCAGGACATCATGACCTCTGTGCAGGTTGTCACCGACAGTTGCAGGAAACGGGTCGTGGCCGACATGAGTGCCAATGACCCTGAAATGGCCTTCGCAATTTTCAACCTGGAAGGCTGGCTTCATGGTGGGGCTGCAGACGGGGAACATCGTCAAAGGCGCTTCAAGATGTTGAAGCAGCTCTGCCGAGTTCTCAAGCTGCCATATGATCCAACACTACTAGAGTTCGAGGGTGTGCTTGCAGAGCTTCTCGAGGATACTGACAGCGTCAACCAGGCTGTTTCGAACGCAGACAACAGGCCGATCTGGGCCAGGGCCCTCGGAGATGGCAAGCCGCTGAGTCAGTGTAACCAAGAGCTTGAGTACCTGCCCGAGTTACTGGCTTTCTACATGAGTATTTTAGATGGCGAATGTGGCCTGGTGCTGATTACTTCCATTTCTCACTGGTTCACCATGTCAGACAATAACAGAGTGTCTCTTAAACTTAGGATATTTAGTGTTAGTAAAGGCGAACGAGGCCTAGACCGAGACCGTTGTTTTATTTTGCCTGTCAACTGTCTAGGTGGCGTGGAGCGAGACCTTGCAAGCCTGTGCAAGACGCTGGAACAACATCAGGGTCCCACAGACGCAGACGCCCTGACAGCGTCAGAATTGTTGGAGTTGCGCCTTGACGGACCAAAGACAGAGTCAGATGTGTTTGTTCAAGTGTCAGTGCCAGCGTCTTCCAGCGGTGCACTTGCTGTAGGGGGCGCTGGCAGCCTCGACTTCACGGATTACAGCCGGGCTTGTGCACAACTTTGGGTTGATTTATTTGGACGCCGTTTCTCCTTGTACAAGAACCTTGCCCCTGCAGATAACACCGACAGTCTTGTAATTTATTATTAAATTTTAAATTATTTACACTGACTAATAATTACATTGCTTTTTTTTATCACTGGCCCTGCTAGATTCCCAGGACCAGAGCAGATGTCGGTGTCAAGCGAGCCCCAAGACAGGGCACATTTGCTGCCGTTCTGGAGCAGCAGAGACAGAGCGTCAAGCAACTCGTGAACACAGGTGTAGGAGCCAGAGCAAGGACCTTTCTTGGATTTGACAGGACGCTTTCAGAGTCAGAAACTCTTTCGTTAGTTGCAACCTGCAGATTTTACATGTCAAGTGGCCTAAGTATTTCAGTGATGCCAAACTTAAACACTCAGGAAAATCTTTGTCCGGAAAGAGTCTCAGATGCTGTCCAAGAACCCAGCATGGAATTCAGCATTGGACAAGTACCACAAAACAACGCAGCAGAGAGCTGAGCAGAGTCAGGCGAACAGGATGCGACTTTTTCACGGGGTGCCAGCGAGACAGCCCACTGTGAGAGAGGGCCGGGTGTTCAAGAAGACTCGGCAGCCTACTTCAAACCTGACAGAGTCAACCGTCGTTCTGGACCTTGCTAAGACAACTCCGAAGACAAGCTGCCGGGGCACCATGAACAGACCGGCAAATCCAGAGAGTGTCAGTTACAAGGAGATTCGCAAATCACACATTGTCATTGTGGACTCTGTTTCTCGTGTTGAGCGTCTCGAAGCTGGGTTTCTTGTTTCGATTCAATTGCAAACTTTCTGTTGTCAGGAAAACAGCTAGTGTCAACCTGGACGAGCAGGTAGTAGTGTCAACAATGATTGTCCTGTTTGAGGCAAGGCATGGTGCACCTCTACATCACCGTGGTGGCACTTGGCCTTGGTCTGATCAGTTCTGCAGATTGGGATCGGCTGGAAAGCCGGGAGTCAAGAATCCGATACTACGACCCTTCGAGCAGCAGCGTCAGCGCCAAGATTTACATTGCCACTTCCTTCAAAGATGACTCTCACAGCACAGCCAAGCTTCTACAGCATCACTGCTTAAACAGAGATGCATCTTGGACCAGTGTCAGCCGAAGGCAGAATGCTGAACACATTGTGGATAGTTTCGAGTCACTGCACAAATTTCTGGTGCATGTGAGAAGGCTGTCCAAGAGAAATGAGCCAGGCACCAGACGTGGCCAAGGGTCAGGGTGGCACTTTGGAGTTGGAGTGTCACTGTTGAGGAAGCCGCCCCGGTCTGGCAGACAAACTGCAGATTGACTCAGAGTCATTGTGTCATTGTCACTATTATTATTATCTCAGTGCCATTGCCAACTGCTACTTTGAATCTTGATTTGCGTATACCGTGAATAGTACAGCATGAGAGTCAAGATTTTGCTTTGTCTGCCAGCACAGGCAAGCCCAAGCAGGCCGAACATGCAGGAAAAATATGCGTTGCATCTTGGGTTCGGTGTGCATTGGTGCGCAGCTTGTCATGTTCCTGCAGAGTTAAGAATAAGACTTGATTCTGAGAACAGTGTTTGTTTGCCCAGGTTGGACACCGCTGCCTTTTGGATGTGCCGGCCTCAGTGTCAAGCTATGATGTTCTCGCGGCGTTTGTGGATTTGATATTAGCAGCCAGCTTGCTTAGATAACAACAACGGCAAGATCAAGCTATCTGGTGCTTTGCTGAGAATGTGTCAGAGTTACATTTTGAAGCTGCAGTCTGCACCTGCTTTGAGATTAGCAGCCATCAACTTTCCCCCTGCTTTGAGATTACGTTCTTGAGTCTGAGGCCAGAAAGCCAGCGGCAGCCCAACGTCCAGAGTCAAGCTGCAACCTTAGCTGGCATGAGCTGACTGAGCAATAGCCTGACTACTGTTAAGTTTGAGTCCTGCAATAGTACCTCTACTGTTGCTCCTGGTGTCTCAGAGTCTGTCGGAATAGTAGGGACCACTTTGCCGCTACTGCTGCTCCTGCTGTGTGGCTGTGTCAGAGTCCGTTGATGGAATAGTAGTAGGGACTTTTGTGCCTCTACTGCTGCTCCGGTGTGTCAGAGTCCTTTAGTACCAGTTTTCGCTTAGCTCATGCTGCAGAGGGAGAGTCATGAGCCAGAGTCCTTTTTAGCAGGTACTGCTGCAGAGACTACTCTGCCCCGGAGAATAGTTACAGTAGTGAAGTTTGCAAAAGCTTAGCCTTAAGGGTTGGTGTCAGGTATTAGCTGACCTGTTTCTGGTATGCCAATACCTCGCCGCCTTTCAAAAGGCGGCCAGGTATTGGGATACCACAGAGAGGTATCGCAATACGTCCTCCTCTTGGCTCCAGTCTTCGAGGTATTGCAGGACCTAGTTTGGGTGGTCTAATACCTCACAGCCTTTCAAAAGTCAGCTAGGTATTGGGACACCCCGTTTGGAGCCATGACCGCTGCCAAAACTGGCCAAGCCAAAAATAAGGCAAAGGTTGCCGCAGAGTCAGAGCCGAAGGCCCCGGCTAAGGACCAGCTGCCAGAGTCAGAGAAGGTGCCTGTGCAGAAGATTCCGCCACCTCCAGAGTCTGCAGACCAAGGGCAGCTTGCAGCAGAGTCACTGGAGCCCCCAGCTCTTCCGGCCAAGGATGAGGAGGCCAAGAGGATGTCTGCATTGAGTGTCATGCAGCAGGTGATCAAATATGTTTCTCGGCTCTTCTAAATTGAACTTGTGCTTTTCCGTTTCCAGAAGTCAGTGAAGAGAATGACAGTGTTGTTGTACTGTTTGTGCAGTCAAGGTTCACCGTCGCTGGGCTGTGGAGTGTGGCCTTTCCGGAGAGTCAAAGCTTAAGGACCTGGCGCCGCTTTCCATCGAGAAAAACAAGGCTGTGCAAACAAACTTTCGAGAGTCATGGAGCCCTACATCCTGTCAAGTGTCAATGGAGCGAAGAGACATGTACGAGGCCGGAGGGTCACTCTTTTGGTTGGATGGGTTGGTCACGCTTGCTGGCTGGAAGGATGAGCCTGTCTTGGTGGAACCTCCATCCATGTGGGAGGTTTTGGAGGCCGAAGAGGTCCTTGTGCCAGAGTGTCAGAACCAACTTTACTTTGGCGACCCCTTCTTGGCCTTCGTGCAGAACTATGGCAACGGAGTCAGCTTCCCAAGCGGGATGAGGCTGATGAGGGGTATCCTTCCCCTTTTTGCCTGGTATGTTGCTGCATGCAGAGTCATCCTGGAGCCTCTGAGCAAGGCCAGAACTGAGAGGTTGACGGCACTGCACACCATGGCACTGACAGTGTCAATCCGAGCCTACTACTACAACCCCAGAGAAGGCAAGAGCAACATCATCCTGCGATCTTTGCAGAATTCCGAGAAGAGCAAGATCACTGCTCCTGGTGACTCCTTTCAGATGTTTGTGAAGAAATTGGGTCAGTTCATGGAGTCTGCCCCCAAAGAAGAGTCAGACTCACAGCCCAAGTTGCTCAAGTTCCTTGTGGACAGGAACATTCGCTTCAATGGCAGCCTTGTCAACCGCACGCTTCTTCAAGCCTCGGTGAACTTTTACAAGCTGCTGACTCCAGGGATAGAGTCAACACTGGATGCAATTCAGCGCGAATTTGGGCGTGCTGTTTGGTCTGCCGGCTACAACAAGATCATGCGTCTGTGTCAGATCGCAGCCAAGATGGCCGGTGATTGGCCCACGGAAGTGTCAGTGTCAGACTTGGTGCACTTTGCCCTGGACTGCTGCTTGATGCAGCTTCGCCGCAAACAGTGTGGGCCTGAGTTCTACAAGATGGAGACCTTGGTGACGGAGAGATCTGGCTGGGTGCCTATCACCTGCTTGAAGTGTTACCTCATCATGCACCTGTTGTCGGTGTCAAAGGCAGCCGCCGAGAAAGAGTCCGAGTCAAAAAGTGCTACTTCGCGGCTACCAAAAAAACTTCTGCACGAGGCAATGCAGAAGGTGGCTTCTCCTTCGTCCTACGACGAGAATGTCCCCTTGCCACGGTCGGAGGAGGCGGAGGATGTCCTTGAGGAAGGGCCAGGGCCAGCGTCAGCGTCAGCGTCAGCTTCCAAGCCCAACGAAGAGCAAGCTTGCGCAGACGCAATGGCCAGGGTCACAGAGATGCTCTCAAAGGCGGGCCGCGCTTGTGTCGAGCTGGTGCGGGACCTCATGGAGGGCAAGCACGAAGACGCACTCGCCAAGCTGACCAGTGTCAAAGACCCCCTGTACCACCTGATGGAAGGGTCAGCGTCAGATGCAAAGCATTTGGGAAAAGCTTTCAGAGCGTCAGTGTCAACCATGGTTGCTTCGGCTTTCGCGTCAGAGTCAGGTGACGCTCCTGTGAGTTTTCGGGAGTTGGCCCGTAAGTTGTCGGATCCAGAGCAGCCTGACGAAGCTCAGAAGGTGCAGCGTCAGAAGGTCTGGCAGCAGGCGCAGCAGTTGCGCAAAAAGACGGTGCAGCTGGCGCTGTGGAAGGGCACCGTCGACTCCTTGAAGACGCTCGTCGACAAGTCCGTCTTCAAGCAGTGTCAAGGCAAGCTCAACGAAACCCACAGGGTCATCTTCTTCTCCGCGGACCTCTTGGATGAAGCCAAAGGCACCTGGCAAAGGCCAGTGTCAATCGCAAAAGACAGCGCAGACCCGATCATGAAGTTCCTTGAAGACTTCACTTGGAAGGAGCACGACATCCTCGTGCTCTTTGATGGTGGCAACCAAGCCAACAGAGACTACCTCCGTGCAAGTGTCGGCGCCAAGGGTCAAAAGAATTTGAATGAGTTCGTGCTGCTGTACTCTCGCAGAAGCAGGATGTCCAGAAGCCGCAAAGTGTTCTGTGCCAGCCAGCGCATGGAGACTGGCATCATCAAGACCTTCGTTCCACGAATCAGAGTCAATGTGAAGGAGCGAACTGACATGTATGCCATCCCGACGCCGGACAAGAAGGAGGTAGCCACGACCCACGACCTGAGCATGGTGGGGTTGCCGCCTCTTGAAAGACGCCCCAAAATCAGCGTCACTGAGAAGGCCAAGATATGGAGTGACATCGATGAGCCCCCCAAGTACAGGCTGGAAAGTGTCCCCATCTACTGGGCAGAG